CTTACTATTTTTTAAAATGTTTTTATTGATTTCAGAGAGAAAGGGAGAGAGTGAGAAACATCAGCATCAATCAGTTGACTCCTGCACGCACCCCAACCTGGGATAGAACCAGCAACCCAGACAAGTGCCCTGACTGGGACTTGAACTGGCGACCTTTCAGTGCACAGGACGATTGCCCAACCAACTGAGCCACACTGGCTAGAGCTATGTTACTTCCTTTGACTCAGCAATTCCTTTTATAGGAATTAGGCCCAAGGAAATGGCTGGACAAGTACACAATGATATTACCACAAAGATGTTCGTCCCTGCTCAACATTGCTTATCCCAGTGGAGAATGCGAATCAACCTAAATACTGAGCATCTGTAAAAATAGCAAAGTAGAAGTGCATTTATTATCATAGAAAGAAAAAGAAAAAATGTACAAAGAATAAAAAATAAAAGAAAGCTGTATAGCCCTGGCTGGTTTGGCTCAGTGGATAGAGCGTTGGCCTTCAGACTAAAGGGTCCCTGGTTCGATTCTAGTCAAGGGCACATGCCCAGGTTGTGGGTTTATCCCCAGTGTGGGGCGTGCAGGAGGCAGCCAGTCAATGATTCTCTCTCATCATTGATGTTTCTATCTCCCTCTCCTTTCCTCTCTGAAATCAATAAAAATATATATTTTAAAAGAGAAAGATGTATAGAACATACTAGTATGAATGGACAGAAACAGGCTTCCAAACAAAGTTATAGTATGATCCTATTTTTGTAAATATATATTAATATGTAGAGGCATAGGAGAAAATCTAGAAAGATAAAAAGGCTTAATAGTGTGATATTAGATGTAAATTTTTCTAATCTATTTGCATTTTTTAAAATTTTCTATGAGAATATGTGTTGGTTGTACAATAAATGAATATACATGTTTATTTTACATGTTATTTTAAATATATTTTATTGATTTCAGAGAGGAAGGGAGAGGGAGAGAGAGATAGAAACATCAATGATGAGAGAGAATCATTGATCGGCTGCCTCCTACACACCCCAAATTGGGGATCGAGCCCGCAACCCAGGTATGCGTCCTGACTGGGAATTGAACCATGACCTTGTGGTTCATAGGTCAATAACCACTGAACCATGCCAGCCAGGCCCATGTTATTGTCTTAAAGGTTGCTGAATAACTCAGGGAAGAGCTGATCAGAGTCTGAACCGAGGGCAGGAGCAAGAGGGTAGAGGGTATAGAAAGAAAGGGACCAATTTTTCTGATTGATAGGAAGCACTTGGACACACATTGGCTATATCCTGTGGAGAGCAAGGGTGGGGGGGAGTTCAGTTTTAACTGACAGTAGGGCTGCTCAGCCTGATGAGCAAGGAGGAAGGATTGTGGTGAAGGGAGAGGAGCATTTTCCCTTCCCGTGGCTTCTGGAAGGACTGTTTATCCCTCTTACACTACCTTAGCATCAGTGCTGTCACACTTTTGGCTATTTCTGTCTCCCCAGAGGACCGTAAGTAACCCTGACTGATTCACTCTGTTTGGATCCTCAGCAACGAATTTACAAGAACGCACTAGATGTGAACTGGTGGCACTGTCACACCCCCAGCTCATTCCATAACAATACTAGCATTCTGTGCGGGCTCATCTCATCTGCCGGGCACGGTACTAACAGCTTTTTGTGTATTAGATCATATCTTCATCATGACCCTATCAGGTAGAATTTGTTGATGGTGCCATTTAACAGATAAAGAAACTAAGTCAGGGACTCTTTCCTCCTCCCCACTTGGGCATCTGTACTCGTTCTTCAATAAATCTCCGCCTTTGCTATACCACCTTCAAAAAAAATAAAAGAAAAAGAAAGTAAGTCACAGAGAGGTTAAAGGAAAATGCCATGGTCACACAACTAGTAAGAGGACACTCTTAATGTCTCTATAATCATGTGAAGTTTGCACAACTTCTGTGAATTCAGTGTGGCAGGAGCTTCCAAACCCATTTGGTAGATGAGAAAAGTGAGGCTCAGAGGTGATTTTTCCCAAGGTTACATGAGGGGAACAGTACTAAAAACGGAGTTGAAGTAAAGGTAAGATATACACATGGCAACATGGATAAATCTTCAAAATAGTGCTGAATTGCCCGGCCGGCGTGGCTCAGTGGTTGAACATCGACCTATGAACCAGGAGATTGAGGTTCTATCCCTGGTCAGGGCACATGCCCGGGTTGCGGGCTCGATCCCCAGTGTGGGGTGTGCAGGAGACAGCTGATCAATGATTCTCTCTCATCGTTGATGTTTCTGTCTCTCTCTTCCTCTCCCTTCCTCTCTGAAATCAATAAAAATATATTTTTAGCCAAAACCGGTTTGGCTCAGTGGATAGAGTGTCGGCCTGCGGACTGAGAGGTCCCGGGTTCGATTCCGGTCGAGGGCATGTACCTGGGTTGCGGGCATATCCCCAGTGGGAGATGTGCAGGAGGCAGCTGATCGATGTTTCTCTCTCATCGATGTTTCTAACTATCTCTCTCCCTTCCTCTCTGTAAAAAATCAATAAAATATATATTTAAAAAAAATATATATATATTTTTAAAAATAGTACTGAAAAAAAAAACACACACACACAATAAAGTAGCAAAAATAAATAAATAAATAAATAAATAGTACTGAGCCCTGGTCAGTTTGGTTCAGTGGGTAGAGCATCTGCCTGCAGACTGAAGGGTCCCAGGTTCAATTCCAGTTAAGGGCATGTACCTTGGTTGCAGGCACATCCCCAGTGGGGAGTGTGCAGGAGGCAGCTGATCAATATTTCTCTCTCCTCGATGTTTCTAACTCTCTATTCCTTTCCCTTCCTCTCTGTAAAAAAAAATCAATAAGATATATTTTAAAAAAATAGTGCTGAATGAAAAAATTCACAGAAATGTATTCATATATTTATATATTAATATATAAAACCATTTGCATAAATTTATACTGTATACTAGCCCTAGCTGGTGTGGCTCAGTTGGTTGGAGCATCATTCTGTACACCGAAAGGAGAATTTGATTCCCCATCAGGGCATTTACCCAGGTTGTGGGTTGGGGTATGTGCAGGAAACAACTGATAGATGTTTCTCTCTCTCTTTCTCTTTCCCTTTCTCTAAAATAAATAATAATGAAATAAAAAATGTACTGTATTGTACACATATTTCAAAATTTATACAATACAAAAATTACCCATTAAACTCATTAGAGTGAAGAGGGGAAAGGGTTGAGCTATAGGCTGTATTAATCTGCTCAGGCTGCCATAAGAGAATGCCACAATCTTAAATAGACATTTATTTTCTCGTAGTTCTAGAGATTGGAAGTCCAAATTCAAGGTGCCAGCAGGGTTGGTTTCTGGCGAGACCTCTCTCCAGAGGCTGTAGATTGCCGTCTTCTCACTGGTCCTTACATGGTCTTTCCTCTCTGCAGAGAGAGATCAGTGGTATCTCTTCTCATGACTCCAGACCTACCAGATGAGGGCCCCACACTTATGACCTCATTTCACCTTGATTACCTCCTTAAAGGCCCTATCTCCAATACAATCACGTTGGGGGTTAGGGTTCCCACACATGAATTTTTGAGAAACACAAGTCAGTCCATAACATGGGCTAAAAGGGACATAATAAAACCACAAGAAGTGGAGAAAGAAAATGGGCAGGATCCAGATCAAGCAGGCCCTTACAAGGCATAATAATGAGACTAGCTTTTTTATTTTTTAAAAATATTTTTTCATTCATTTGAGAGAGAGAGAGAGAGAGAGAGAGAGAGAGAGAGAGAGAGAGAGATCAATGATGGATCCAGCCAGCAGCCAGGCATATGCCTGGACTGGGAATCGAACGATGACCTCCTGGTTTTTAGGTCGACGCTCAACCACTGAGCCATGCCGGCTGCCCTAGCTTTTTTTTTTTTTTTTTTTTTAATGCTAGCTTTTTGTATTGTTGTTGTTAATCCTCACCTGAGGATATTTTCCCATTGCTTTTTCAGAGAAAATAGAAGGGAAGGAGGGATGGGGAGAGAGTGAAACATCGATGTGAGAGAGACCATGGACTGGCTACCTCCCCAGCGTGCCCTGTCCAGGGGGTGGGGAGCCCAAGTACGTGCCTGCCCTTGACGGGGAATCAAACCTGCGGTCCTTCAGTGTGCAGGCCCGAATCTACAGAAACCCACTTTGCCACACTGGCCAGGGCAAGGAGACTAGCTTTAAAGGCTCAGAGAGGCCCTGGCCTGTGTGGCTTAGTTGGTTGAGCATCCTCCTGTGCACTTAAAGGTTGCTGGTTCTGAAAGGTCAGTCGGAGGCCGAAAAAACAGGTGACACAGGCTTTATTAGAGGAAAGACCTGGCGGGCTGTCTCGCAAAGGGAGAGCAGCAGCTCGTGCAGCGATAAGAACTCTTATTTAAGGAGAATGAGGAAGACAGGAGGGCTTGGGGTACTTGGTGAGAGCTGGTTGGTTAGTCAATGTATATGTCCATACAAGGTGTTCCTTCTGGGTTGGGGCCACATCACATTTACAGTAAGTCATCGCCATTCCAGGGACGGGTGGGTTTAGTAATCACATTCCCGGGAAAGGTGAGTCTATCAGGTTCAATTCCAGGTCAGGGCACATGCCTGGGTTACCGATTTCTGGCTTGATAGGGGGAGAAGGGGTTGTGCAGGAGGCAAGTGATCAATGTTTCACATGGATGTTTCACTCTCTCTCTCTCCATTCCTCTCACTCTAAAAGTCTTTGAAAAAATAAAACTCAAGAAAAAATCTTTTTTAAAAAAGGCTCAGAACCCTACCTGGTTTGGCTTAGTGGATAGAGCATAGGCCTGTGGACTGAAGAGCCCTGGGTTCAATTTTGATCAAGGGTATATGCCCAGTTGCTGGCTCAAGCCCCAGTAGGGGGCGTGCAGGAGGTAGCCAATGATTCTCATCATTGATGCTTCTATCTCCCTCTCCCTTCCCCTCTGAAATCAATAAAGATATATTTTTAAGATAAATAAATAAATAAAATAATTTTTTTAAAAAAGGCTCAGAGAAGTCACTCAGTTCATAAATGCTAAGGTCAATTGATATATAACTGATTGACTCCACAGTTCATGTAATCTGAAACCATTGAGTCCTGATAAAGTGGAAATGTGTGTATTTCATTTTACATTAGGGAAACGGAGTTCAGAGAGGCCAAATGACTTGCCTAGGGCCGCATAGAAGAAGTTCTTTCTGAGTTTTATTGGCACTTTCTGTGTGCCAGGCCTTGTGTAAGACACGGAGGATATAGAAATTAGGGAAACATGGCCCCTGCCCTTAGAAAGCCCAGCCATGAATAGAAGAGACATCCAGGTAAGCAAATGTGGTCATTGGAGGGGCCTGTTAAAGGTGCTGGGAAGTCCAGAGGAGGGAAAATGACTCTGCCTAGGGTAAGTTGAGGAAGATTTCAGAGGAGGAAGAGCCCTTTTAATCAAATCCTTGAAGGATGAAGAGTTCACCTGATGCAAAAAAAGGAAAAGCTCGGTATGGGCAGAGTCCAGGACGCGGGCCCTTGCGAAGGGAGAGTGAGTAAAGGCGTGATGAGGCCAGATGGGGAAGGCTTTGCTGCCGGGCGGGAAATCGGACTTGATTCTGAGCTCGCTGGGGAACCCTGGAAGAGTTTCAAGCAGGGAATGCCTTGGCCAGGATTCTAAGGACGGTCTCTCTGGCGGTTGTCCAATGACCTGTAGTCTTTTTAAGAATCCATTGCATTTAAAGAAAAAAAATCCATTGTACGAGCTGGTGAGAAAAAATGACGGCCCCTCCCACCTCCAATCCTTTTATGGGTTTTATCACTTAGACCGAGGATTTTTTTTTTTTTTAACCATCTCTGTCAAAGCCTTCATCTCACTGCTAGACAGACCAACCTGCTTCCTTCCTCTCCGCCTACACTGCACCTCCCACCAGGGTGATGCACCAGACAATGGGACTTGGGAGAAAGGTGTGCAAAGGACAGAGGGGTTCAAGCTTCCCGTAGGGATGATGGGCAAAGGGATCCAGATGGTGAGGACCCCAGGTGTTCTTGGTCTTGGCTTTCCCCACCTCTCGGGGCCAGTTAAGCATCTCAGCTTCCTACATTGCCCGCCCCCTTGCTTGCTGCACTCAACTTCCTGCCTCACCAGAGGAAGTGGGGAGAGACAGCAGGTACAGCAACAGCGACGGGGGCCATGGTGAGTCCTTATGCCTAAGAATCCAGGTCCCCAGGCCTCAACCGCCAGGGCAGCCAGGCCCAGGTCAACCCACAGTTCTAGCCCTTGAGATCAGGTTATACTGGGGGCCCTGTCTGCAGCTCCCAGCAGCCTGATATTGTCTACCCCCCACCAACAGGACAAGGAGTATGTGGGTTTCGCAGCCCTTCCCAACCAGCTGCACCGCAAGTCCATCAAGAAGGGGTTTGACTTCACACTCATGGTGGCAGGTCTGGGGGTTTTGGAGGTGGTGGGTCCTCAAGAGACCCTGGCTGTCCTCTGACCTGACCAACTGGGCCTGCCTGTCCACAGGGGAGTCAGGCCTGGGGAAATCCACCCTCATCAACAGCCTGTTTCTCACCAACCTCTATGAGGATCGGCAACTGCCAGAGGCCAGCGGTAAGACCCTCCCCATCCTCTCCAGGCCCTCTACCCCCTCCTATCTCCCCAGGCTACACTATCTTCCTTTCCATCTGCACTCCCATGACTTTCTGGGGGACTCGGGCAGCTTACGGCTTCTTCCCCTAAAAACAATAGGTGGGGGCAATTGTGATACTGAGAAAGGAAACTAGTCCTTCCTCAGACCCCTACCCAGTTCCCTGATCTCTTCCCGTACCCATAGCTCGCTTGACACAAACGCTGACCATTGAGCGTCGGGGCGTGGAGATCGAGGAGGGGGGCATTAAGGTGAAGCTGACCTTGGTGGACACACCTGGCTTTGGGGACTCGGTGGATTGCTCAGACTGGTGAGGAGCGGGGGAGGGAATGAAGGATAGTCTCCCAATATGGCTGGCTACTTGGTGGAAACTGAGGGGTCAGTGACAGGGCTGGTCTGCCCTGGCCTCCCACCCACCCTGACTGAAAGGTGGGGGGCATTTCTGGTGGCTGTGTGTCCCAAAGTGCCCTGTGCTTCCCGACATCTCACTTAGGACCCTGCCAGTTTCCCGACTTCTTTGGTTGGAGACAAAGAAACTACTCCCCACCCCCACAGTCCTGGCTAGTCTTGCCCCCTTCCCTGCCTGCCGTGTGACCCCTGCTCTCCCACCACATGCTCTCTCCCTCCCCACACCCCAGCTGGCTGCCCGTGGTGCGCTTCATTGAGGAGCAATTTGAGCAGTACCTTAGGGACGAGAGCGGCCTGAACCGGAAGAACATCCAGGATTCCCGTGTCCACTGCTGCCTCTACTTCATCTCACCCTTTGGCCGGGGGTCTGAGGGCCGCCCTGGGGGTGGGGCGTTTGGGGAGGGCTTGGGAGGTGACTCCATATCCGGAGACCAAGCCCTGGCCAATCCTTGGGTGCAGGCTCCGGCCCCTAGATGTGGCCTTCCTCCGGGCGGTGCACGAGAAAGTCAACATCATCCCAGTCATTGGCAAAGCAGATGCCCTGATGCCCAGAGAAACCCAGGCTCTCAAGCAGAAGGTGGGTGTGGTGACTTTTGACCTTTGGCCCCACATGAAGCCAAAAGTCATGCTCAAACCTGAACTCAGCTTTTTTTAAAAAATATATATTTTATTGATTTTTTACAGAGAGGAAGGGAGAGGGATAGAGAGTTAGAAACATCGATGAGAGAAAACCATTGATCAGTTGCCTCCTGCACACCTCCCACTGGGGATGTGCCCGAAACCAAGGCACATGCCCTTGACCGGAGTCGAACCTGGGACCCTTCAGTCCACAGGCCGATGCTCTACCCACTGAGCCAAACTGGTCAGGGCCTGAACTCAGCTTTGACTCCTTTGATCTTGGGGTAGGCTTCTTGGAGCATGATGTGTAATGCTATTAGAGTTTCTGCGGAAGGTAGGTAGTGAGCTGCCTGAAAGAGCCGTGCCTCTGGAAGCTCAGAATGGAACCCCTGGGCTGGATGCCTAGCCTGTCTGAGGGTAGGAACATAGACGTGATGACCCCGGATGCCCCCCACCCTCCAGTGTCTTCAGAGCCCGCGCCTACTGTTTCTGCTTCTATGTCTCTCTCCGGGTATTTTGGAATCTGCCTCATCTTAGAATCTTTCCAGGATTCTGCCTTGGCTGTTAGGGTGTCTTTGTCCCAGTCTTTTCACCCTGTGACTGTCCCATTATCTCTGAGATTTTATGTTCATTTCTTTTATTTGTTTTTTGTTAATCCTCACCCGAGGATATTTTTTCCATTGCTTTTTATTTTAATTTTTTTATTAAATTCAGTGTGATGCCCCTCCCTTGTGTGAGATTTGTGTTTCTTTTTTAAATATATTTTTATTGATTTCAGAGAGGGAGGTAGAGGGAAATATAGAAACATCAATGATGAGAAAGAATCATTGATTGGCTGCCTTCTGCAAGCCCCCCACTGGGGGTCGAGCCCACAACCTGGGTACGTGCCCTTGACTGGAATCAAACCTGGGACCTTTCAGTTGGCAGGTTGACACTCTATCCACTGAGCAAAACTGGCTAAGGCTCCATTGATTTTTAGAGAGTGGAAGAAACAGGGAGAGAAAGAGAGAGAGAAAGACAGATGTGAGAGAGACACAATTGGTTGCCTCCCACACAGGGCTGGGGATTGAGCCTGTAACTGAGGTACGTGCCCTTGACCAGAACTGAACCTGGGACCTTTCAGTCCGAGGGCCAGCACTCTATCCACTGAGCCAAACTGGCTAGAGCATTTTTTTTTTTTTTATTGATTTTAGAGAGAGAAGGGAGAGGGAGAGATACATTGACATGAGAAACATGACTTGCCTCCTCCACACACCCTGACCAGGGACAGAACCTGAAACCTGGGCATGTGCCCTGACCAGGAATCAAACCTTCAACCTTTCGGTGCCCAGGATGATGCTCAACCAAGTGAGCCACACAGCCCAGGGCTGCACTTTCAGTTCATTTCTCACCATCTGTCTTTCCTGTCTGACCACCCAGTGTCTGTATCTGAGCACTTTTTTTTGGTAAATCCTCACTTGAGGATATTTTTTCATTGACTTTTAGAGAGAGTGGGAGGGGGAGAGACAGAGAAACATTGATTAGTTGCCTCCTGCAGGTGCCCCAATCAGGGCCAGGGATCAAACCTGCAACCTAGGTAGGTGCCCTTGACTGGAATCCAACCCAGGACCATTCAATCCACAGGCCGATGCTCTATCCACTGAGCCAAACTGGCTAGGGCAAGTGTCAGTATCTGAATCTGCCTGGGCCATGCAATGTCTGTTGTTCACAGCCTCTGTGATTCTCACTGTCTCTGCATCTGTTTGCTCTGAGATCCGGGACCAGTTGAAGGAGGAGGAAATCAACATCTACCAGTTCCCCGATTGTGACTCAGATGAGGATGAAGACTTCAAGAGGCAGGATGCCGAGATGAAGGTGCAGAGGCAAGGGAGGAAGGGGCCGAGAAGCAGGGGAGGCAGAGGTGGAGGTGGAAGCTGAGGAAGAAGCTTCTGTCCTTGAGGGGCCAGTGGTGATCCTGATTCCCACCCTCTAGGAAAGCATCCCTTTCGCAGTTGTCGGTTCATGCGAGGTAGTGAGGGACAAAGGCACCCGACCAGTGAGGGGACGCCGCTACTCCTGGGGCACCGTGGAGGGTGAGTAAGGCTGGGCGTGCATTCTGAGGCCAGCGGGGAGCCCAGGCCACCGCCAAGTCAACCGCACCCAACATGTGATGGCGGGTGAGCTCCGGTCTGGGAGGTCCTAGGAGCCAGATGAGAGGTCTTTGAGCTGCAGAGGTGGACCCTCCCCAGGAGCGGGGTGGGATTTCGGGCAGACCTTACCCAGAGGGTGGGCCCGGACCCGGCAGCTTCCTGATGCACACGGTGGTCCCCCAGTGGAGAACCCACATCACTGCGATTTCCTGAACCTGCGACGGATGCTGGTGCAGACACACCTGCAGGACCTGAAGGAGGTGACACACGATCTGCTCTATGAGGGCTACCGGGCCCGCTGTCTACAGAGCCTGGCCCGGCCTGGGGCTCGCGATCGGGCCAGCCGCAGGTGAGAGCCGCAGTGGACTCACAGGTGCTCCATGATCTCGCCCTCACCACATCCATGACCCCGCCTTGACCCCGCCTTCACCATCCAGATCTTTTTCCCCAAGTCTTTCCCCACCCAGCTAGCTTCCGGCCCTAACCTCAAGGACAAGAGCCCACCTCCTAGAGGCCAACCCCCTTCCAGGCCCCGCCTCGCGGTCGTGACCCACACAACCACGGTCCCGCCCTTGATTCCTATTCCTTTTCCTCCCTCTAGTAAGCTTTCCCGCCGGAGCACCACGGAGATCCCGCTGCCCATGCTGCCCCTGGCCGAGACGGAGAAGCTGATCCGCGAGAAAGACGAAGAGGTGAGCCAGCAGCCCGCCCCCCACTGACCAAAGCCCCAGTCCTCTTCGAAGAAGCCGCCCTCCGGCCACGCCCGGCCCCACCGCCTGCGATCTTGCCCCACAGCTGCGTCGCATGCAAGAGATGCTGGAGAAGATGCAGGCGCAGGTGCAGCAGAGCCAGGCTCAGGGCGAGCAGTCGGCCGCTCTGTGAGGACCCCCGCCGGTGCCGCTTTACATCCGCTCCGCCTTCGTCCGTCTCTTGTCCAATCCCCGAGCCCCGGCGGCCCCGCGCCTCGCCCCGAGCCGCCCTGGCACTGGGCTCTGGGCCAACAGTTCTCCCAACCCCAGAGCTGGCGGTCCTGCCTTTGGCCCCGTCCCGCCCCCCGCCCCTCCCGGAGCCGGGGCTTCCAGCCAAGCCCCAGTAAACCCCGACTAAGGTTCCTGCCCTGGCCAGTGTGGCTCAGCGGGTTGACCGCTGTCCCGTGCACCGAAAGGTCACTGGTCAGACTCCGGTCAGGGCACAAGGCCAGATGCCGCCCCGGCCGGGGTGCGTTCGGGAGGCAACTGCAACCGATCGATGTTCCCTGTTTCTCTCTCGCATCGATGTTCCTCAAATAGATGTCATTTTCTCTCTAAGATCAATTAAAACATTAAAAAACAAAACTAAGTTTCCTGAGGCCACGCGTCTTCGCTTTCCCCGCGGGAATAGCGGCGGGCCCGGCCTTCATTCATTGGTCGGGTACTCGCCTTGCAGTGTTCCAGCCACTCTCCCCCGGCGCCCCCACAATCACACGCTGGGGGCCGCGGGTAAGAAACAAAGACCAGCTCAGTTTTATTAGGACTGGGGTGGGGGTCAAGCTGTCCCGAAGGGCCCTCTACTCCTGGTCCTTGGCGTCGCCGTGCGTGATGACGTAGCAGATGTTCTTGTAGTCTACCATGCCGGTCACGTCGGGCGGGAAGGCCGCCCACATGTTCTTGATCTGGGGAAAGACGGCCAGGTCGCGTTTCCTGCGGGTTCCTGGGGCGCCCGTCCCCCACCCCTCTGCCTTTCCCAGGCCCCTACCCCACTCACCTCTTCCTGGGAGAAGCGGTCACATTGGGTGGTAAGCAGCTCCTCCAAGCTGGAGAGAGATGAAGAGGTGACACAAGGGGAGTTGAGATGGGGCCTTGTAAATTCTTCCCACTCCCACCTCATCCTTGTTGCTATTCCCAGTTTCTCCTGAAAACCAGGGTCACTCTGGATCCTTCCAGTGATCACACAAACACAAACACGAAAGGCTTTTGCCCTTCTCCCCACATGGGATGTGCAAATTTAATCCTAATCACAGCCTTCATTTCTCCCGTATCCCTCGCAACGCCTAACCCTTGGCAGGGACTTAAGGAGGCTTTCTGTGGGTGAGCAGCTGGAGGGGTCACTTACAACTGCTTCTTGATAACACCCTTCCCTTCAGGGTCCAGGACCTTGAAGGCTCCAGTGATCACGTCCTCGGGGTCGGCACCTGGAGTAAGAGGGCACAGGGGTCCCTGAAGCGTCTGTCTCTGAAAGATCTGGGAAGGGGCAGCTGGGAGCTTGGACCCAGGACGCTTCATTCACCTTTGAGCTTCTCTCCGAACATAGTCAGGAAGACGGTGAAGTTGATGGGGCCGCTGGCTTCCTTCATCATTTCATCTAGCTCCTCATTCTTCACATTGAGGCGCCCTGGAATGGGGCGGGGGAAGCATGGGCTGGAGTGGGGTCCTGGGATCAGAGGGTGATTCTTCTCATAAATTCACATCATCCCCCCCCCCCATTTTTCATCTGGGTAGACTGAGGTGGAGTCAGCAGGGCTGGCCCCCAAGGCTGCTGAATTCCCAGGACTCTACAGCCTTGGACCTTTAAGGGGACTGGGTGGGGGGCTCACCCATGGCTGCAAAGGTGTCCCGCAGGTCTTCCTTGTCAATAATGCCATCACGGTTTTGGTCAATTACTGTGAAGGCCTGTGGAGGGCAAGGGCAGGGAGGGGTTAGGCCCCCATGGCCAGGCTTTAGCATCCTTACTCCAGGCAGATCAGATTGTGGCCCCCAGCCAGCTGTCCTCTTTCGTGCCAAGAAGGGAGGGGAGCAAGGAATTCTAAACCCTTCCCCTCCCACTAAAACAGGTGCACATTCCGGGGTGGGAGGGTGGGGGAGGGCAGCAAGGGTGCCTTTGGTCAGCCTTCAGTCTCACTTCCCTTCACTCACCTCCTTGAACTCCTGGATCTGAGTCTGGTCGAACATTGAGAAGACATTGGAGCTTCCACCCTCTGCTGCTGCCCTTCTCTTGGCCTTCTTGGGTGCCTGGGGGTGAGGGTTGGGCAAAGACATCCATGGGCCAGATCCTACTATTCTCTGGAGGCAATGGATTAGACTCCGGGTTCTTTGCGTTTATTCTTGTAAAGCAACTCATCTGGCTCTAGGCTTCCTTCTCTTTGTGACTGCTTTGCTGTGGGTGCTTGTTTCAGTTGCGTTCCCAAATTCCTACCTTGTAGCCCTTGAGTCCCATCCCTCCATCCTACCCAAGTGGAAGTTTCCTCTTCTTAGTGTCCTGAGCCTTCCTCCTCTGAGTCCCAGACTTCCTGTGTGACCCCGATCCACTCATTCATTCTGTATGAAGCTCTACTTTCTCATTTATAAAATGGGAGTGGGGAAGGTGTGTGTGTGTGTGTGTGTGTGTGTGTGTGTGTGTGTGTGTTGGGGGGGGGAGCAGAAGGGATCAATGGGGGAAGAAGGGGACATTTGTAATACTTTCAACAATAAAGATTTAAAAAAACATGGGAGTGGGAATCCTTGCCAGCTTGGCCCCAGAGGGTTTTAGGAAGATGGAGAACAGGGCAGTATGGAGCATGCTTTGAGAGGGATTGGGCTCCAGTGAATGGAGTGTCTGAGTGGATTACCCTACGCACCCATTAGTGATACCAAGAAAAGAAGGACTCATCTTTTTTCCTCTTGATGGACTGGGAACCAGCTACCTTCTTTCAAAGGGTGAGGCTGCTCTGAGGTCTGAGGGATGCGGGCAGGGGGTGGGGGGATTCTTACCATGTCTTCAGTTCCCCGGGGGCAAGGCTGGAAAGTGGCAGAGAGCAAGCTTGCCGCAGTCTCTCTGGGGTTATATAGTCTTGCCCTAGGGAGCCCTTAACATACCAGGGTAACCTTAGCCTTGCGGGTGCCCACCCCAGATACCAAAATAGCCTGGCTCAGGGCCTTTCCTTTCTTGGAGGGCCTGCAGCAGCTGGAGTCCAGGGAGAGAGGGAGGAGGGAATGAGTCTTGGGATGCATGTCTCACTAGGACAGCCGTGGGCAAACTACGGCCCGCGGGCCGGATTCGGCCTGTTTGAAATGAATAAAACTATTGAAAAAAAAGACCGTACCCTTTTATGTAATGATATTTACTTTGAATTTATATTAGTTCACACAAACACTCCATCCATGCTTTTGTTCCGGCCCTCCGGTCCAGTTTAAGAACCCATTGTGGCCCTCGAGTCAAAAAGTTTGCCTACCCCTGCACTAGGACCTGGGCAGGAAAGGTTGTTCTTTCTCTCAAAAGTGGGTTAGAATGTGGCAGAGTTCAGAGAAGGCCCAAGACGGGCCACAGCGCTTGGAGAGAGATGAACCACATCCCTGTACCCCTGAGTGGGGTGTGCCTAGATTTAAACCCAGTCAATTTATTGAGCACCTATAGTGTGCCAGGTGTTGTGCTGTGTTTTATGGGTGCACTTTGACAAACACAACCGCTCCCATCTGGAGTTCACAGTCAAGTGAGAGTATGTGTAGGGGTAGTGGCAGAATTTAGAGGTGGGAGAGAGCCCTCTGGGGAATCTAAAGGACCAGGAAAGTCTTCCACATTCCCTTCATGGAGAAGGAGGATTTTTTTAAAAAAAGTAAATTCACTGTTTTTATTTATTTATTTATATTTTTAAAAAAATGTATTTTATTGATTTTTTACAGAGAAGAAGGGAGAGGGAGAAGGATAGAGAGTTAGAAACATCGATGAGAGAGAAACATCAATCAGCTGCCTCCTGCACATTCCCTACTGGGGATGTGCCTGCAACCCAGGTACATGCCCTTGACCAGAATCAAACCCGGGACCCTTCAATCCGCAGGCCGACGCTCTATCCACTGAGCCAAACCGGTTAGGGCAGAGAAGGAGGATTTTGTGAGGAAAGATATAAAATGTGGAATCACTAGGTATGAAGAGACTAGACAGCCTAGGGCAGAGAGACTGCTCTGTCATCTTGGGCTTTGTGCTTCAACTCCCTGGGCCTTGGTTTCCCCTTCTGTAAAATAGAATTTAACTCTCATCCCACAGAACTTGTGGATGTGAACACTATTTGGAAACAGTTTAGTGAAATGTAATCATATTATAACTTAGGCCCTGCCTTAGAACTTACAGTCCAGTCATGAAGACAGGATAAATGCAGAGTAGCCCTGTCCAGGAGCATAAAAATGAGTTTATGAAGATCAGTAGAGGTGAGTCAGGTGAACATGGAGGAGCAGGCGTGCCAAGCAGAGGGCATGGATGGGCAAAGGCCTGGAGAAGCAAAAGATCAGAAGTGTTCAGGTTGCCAGAATCATGATGGGGCATGAACGGAGGGGCTAGAAACCTCTGATGCTGGAACTGGAGAGCCTTCAACACCAGGCTGGGAGCTGAGACCATGGGAGCCTTGAAAAGTTTTGAAACAGGAGAAAGGCATAGTCTAGTGTGAGTCTATAACCATTTCTTTGGATTCTAGTTTGAAAGTTAGAACTCAGAGGAAGGGAGTCAGAGACACGAAGAGAGAAATTAGTTGGTCACCTCCTCTTGGTTGCCTGGAATGGTCAGTGGCTTCTCAATCCATTCTGGACAAAACCCCGCTTGGCTGACTGTGACTTTGAGGTATTCTCTCCCACCCCTCTAGGCCTCGGTGTCCCGTCCCCTCCATACAGTGGAGGTCTGGGGCAGTATTGGCTGAGGAAGCTCCAGGAGGCCCCAGGTTGGCAATGACACCTCCTCTTCTTGCTCCCTCTAGGACCCAATGTCCTGAGCAAGGTGCCTCCTTCCCTTTCCCTCCTCCAGCCTCATGCCAATGCCTCTAAGACATTTTCTTTTCTGGGCACTGGGGCCCAGCCACCTGTTGTCTCTAAGAAGAGAGAAGAAACCACCCTAAACTTAGCAGCTGCTCTTGGCCTCCTGAACTGGCCCCTCCCTGCCTCGATCGACAGCTGCCTCACCTTATAAGGTTACTATGGGGAAGGGGAAACCCACTTATTACTGGGTTCTGGGAGGCGAGGCGAACTCCAAAGACAGGAATCGGGGGAGCTTGGAAAGTGGGGAAGTTGAGAAGGAGATCAGCAGCAATATATTTCAGACATGGAATGGGAGGGAGTTCCGGAACTCAGAAACCCAGGAGGACAGGGGCGTTAGGCCTGACTGAAGTTTCAAGATGATGGACTCTATGGAAATCAGCATATAAGCCGGGAGCTCAGGGTAATGAGGGTCAGAGGGAGAAAAGGCTCGGAAAGTCAGGACTTTGTGTTTGCATCTAGGATAGGCTGGGGCGCTCATAAGATTGGGGTCTGGTTTCTTAGCAGAAAATGAGCATAGAGAAGTGTGGCAACGAGGGGATAGTGGTTGACTGAAGGGTTTTGAATTACCGAAAGAATAAGAACACAGATGTAAGATTTCATGGTACTGGGAATTCATGGTTTGGGGTCTGGGATCCCCACTAGAATGGCAAATTGAAAGGATGAGGTGTGAGGACTTGGGGCTTGGGATTCCCCCAGGAAATGGCGGATTCAGAGAAATTGGCCACTGGAGGTTTGGGCTTGAAGTGTAGGGATTGGTTGGGAGCCGGGTCGAGACTCAGACAGAGTGGAGGTGGAGAGCGCTGGATCGGGCACTGGATCTGTGTCAGAGCTCAGGACCGCACCTGCCACCAGGGTGGGGGAGAGCGAGGGGAGATCGGTAGCTGGCTGGAGAATGGGGGCCCAGAAAGGACTCGGGCAGGGCAGCACGGCATCCTGATTGGCTAAAGGTTTCGCTAATGCCCCTGGCCCACGTCTCTACTCCGCGCTGTCCCCAACTGTCACCTCCCTCCGGCGCTAGTCTCCGGCTGTCACCGATATCCCTGGGCTGGCACCGCCTGCTGGCAGCACCCCTCCCCTTTGGCCTGTGGCTAAAGGGAGAGAATGCGCTCATTGGCTGACGAGGCAAATTAATTGCAAATTTGGCCCGCCCTCCAGCTGTCATTCCTTCTGACCTTCTTGGGAGACGTAAAGGATATCGCAGTTCTTCCTATTGACTGCAGATGCTGTCTGTCACCGCCCAAATAGATGTGACTGTCTGTCAATTTGACCTCCGCCTATTCCTTTTCATTGGCTGCCTTTTTATCGTTTATTTTAGCCAGGCCCGCCTCTTCTCGCACAGTACCCGCCTCCTTCCGCGGTCATTCACTCTCCCGCCATTTTTATTGGCCAGGAGGTTCAGCTTCCTGATTTTCTATTAGTTGCTCCTTTCGTCCCGCCTCCCCCTACCTTCACCCGCCCTCTCATTGGTCTCATACCTTTTCTCCATTTCCTCTTCCCACCTCCAACCTCACCCACCCGTACAACGATTGGCAGAAACCCAGTTCCCTTTCTCCTATTATTCGCCCAAGCCCTCTAACGAGGCGGGAACAAAAAGAAGCGCGATGGGACGGCCCGCGCGCAGGCGTGAAACGCCGCAACGCTGGCCGCTCAGCCGGCACCCGGTCGTGTGCGCAGGCGCGAGGTCGGTTGCTCGCCCAAAGCAGGAGAGAGGGGGCGGCGGCGAGAGAGAGGTAGGGGTGAGAGGGCGCGAGAGAGACCCCGGCACCCGGAGCCCCCGGACCCGAGCGCCGCCTCCGCGGGCCGGCGGCCGCCCGCGCGCCGTCCCCGCCCCCAGCGCGCGCCGGGCCGCGCCCTTCACCTCCCCTTCCTCGACGGGCGGCGCGGAGCGGCCTGAGGGCGGCGCCTTCTGCGGCCGTCCTGGCCGGGAGGGGGATGTGAGGGGCGGCCCGCGGCCATGGAGACGGGCCCGGCGCCCCTTGTGGCCCCGCCACGCCGTCATGGCGCCCCCGCGGCCCCCTCGCCGCCGCCCCGCGGCTCCCGGGCCGGGCCCGTCTTAGTGGTGGCTCCGGGGCCGCCAGTGACCACGGCCACTTCAGCCCCGGTCACCCTGGTGGCCCCCGGGGAGGCGCGGCCCACCTGGTTACCGGGGCCCACCCAGACCTCGGCCCCGGCCTCAGCCCCGGTCCCGGCCTCAGCTCCGATCCCGGCCTCAGCTCCGGCCCCGGCTTCAGCTCCGGCCCCGGCCTCAGCCCCGGTCCCGGCCTCAGCCCCGGTCCCGGCTTCAGCTCCGGCCCCGGCCTCAGCCCCGGTCCCGGCCTCAGCCCCGGTCCCGGCCTCAGCTCCGGTCCCGGCTTCAGCTCCGGCCCCGGCCTCAGCCCCGGTCCCGGCCTCAGCTCCGGTCCCGGCTTCAGCTCCGATCCCGGCCTCAGCCCCGGTCCCGGCCTCAGCTCCGGTCCCGGCCTCAGCCCCGGTCCCGGCTTCAGCCCCGATCCCGGCCTCAGCCCCGGTCCCGGCCTCAGCTCCGGTCCCGGCTTCAGCCCCGGTCCCGGCTTCAGCCCCGGCCCCGACGTTCACGGGCAGCACAGTGGTGATGCTAACACTGGAGGCCTCACCCGAAGCGCAGGTCTCCTCCGGCCCGGAGGTCCTGGTGCCCGCGGCAGTAATCGGAGACCAGACGTCAATGGCTCACACCCTAGGGGCAGACTCTCCAAAGACGGAGGAGACTAGAACCTCACCCGCCTCTGGACCAGGAACCTCCACCGGGACCTCCACCAGAACCTCGTCCAGATCGGCTCCTGGAGCCCTGACCGCCAAACCCCCGCTTGCCCCCAAGCCGGGAACCACAGCGGCCTCAGGAGTGACTGCACGGATTGCAGCAGTGACAGCAGGACAGGTGACAAGTGGACATGGAGCTGCACCATCAGCATCAACAGGACCGGCTCCAGAGGACCCCTCCGGGTCCGGCACAGGGCCTTCAGGGACTGGTGAGGCTCTGGTCGCGGTTGTGATGGTGACCCCTGCTCCAGAGCCTGCAGAAAACTCTCAGGATCTAGGCTCCATGTCCAGCCTGGGACCTGGCATCTCTGGGCCTCGAGGGCAGGCCCCGGACA